TTTCACCCAGGAGCCCAAGGAACCTGCCAGCTCAGAATTCTGCCTGGGCTGGTGCTGTCAGTGAGCCCAGGTTGTCCTACAGGGTGTAGGGGCTGCTGCTTCCCTTCAGAGCTGGGGTATGGCAGCTGCTAGGAGTTTTGATCTCCTAAAAGAAGGAAGCGCTCTCCTGCAGGGTCCACGCCTTCCATAGACACATAGACCACCCCTCTGCCATCTCCCTTTTTTTGTCATGTTAGGATGACTAAAAAGTGTCAACTTTTACCTGGTTTACATGTTTCTGGTTTAAATGGATCTTAAAAATAAGATCCTGTTCTTTTCTAATTTTGAGCAGATAGCATCTGTTAATTCTGCAGCCAAAGTTTGGGGGAAGGTGATAGACCACAGAGGGACACGCAGAGCAGATGAAGGACCTGAGTGTTGTGGGCACAGCCTCTCTGTGCAACCAAGTGAACCAATGAGACTGTATTGCATGGGCTGACAGGCAGTCCCCAGCAGCGTGAGAACCCACCAGGGCTCTTGCTGGGGTTGGGGCTCACTTTAAAAGGAGGTGGCATAAAAGATCTGAGGCAAGAAGGGTACTGGCCCTTGATTTGTGAGAGTTCCGTGAGCACACATTGCCTGTCTCTGGTTCTGGGCTGGCTAGACCTGTGGATAGTTACACATGCACTGGAAGCAAGAGTGAACCTGGCCGTGGCTCTCCAAGGTATGGCATAGAGCAGTATCTCACAGCCATACAAAGTTGGCCTGGCCATTGGTTGGTTATACTTCCACGTGCATTAAGATAGAGTTGGTCAGAAAAGTGTGGATGTGTCTTGTCAAACACAAGGATTCTTTGTAGGTGTCCTTAGCTGATTTACCTTAAGTAAATCAGCACCAGACTGGTGTTTCTCTGAATTCCAATCTCATTTTGTTTCCTTATATGCTTTAATTTTTCTTTGAGAACTTAAAGTTGGGAAAGTTCTTTTAAATTCTCTCTCTAAAGTTTCCCCCATAATTTTCTCATTGTAGGTTTTCGTTTCTTCCACATGTCATGCATCTTTTCTTTTTCTCTCTCATTCTCATCTCTCTTTACATGGTTATAGTTGTTCCAGAGAAGAGGTGTGTATGATGCAATCTCAATGCAGAGCCTCAGGTTAGGATTGGTCATCTTGACTCTGTTGTCTACTCAAGACCCTTTGCTTCAAGTCATGAGCTGTGTTGGTGTGTTCCCACTCTTCCCACCTAGCTGCATGCCCACCTGAAGACCTCTGCCAGGCAGCCGAGATTCCAGTGCCAGCTCAAGCGTTACCAGTCAAGGCTTGGCAGGATTTCTCAGCTCTGGGCTGGGCCTGGCCTGGACCTGTGGCACACACCAGCCACTTCATCTGATATTTGCATACAGAAAATGTGTAATTGACATGCGTTTGCAACCTGTGAGATGTGTTTTGCTCCTTTAAAAACTGCCCTTCTGATTATTTGCAAAATGCAAACTCGTAAGCTTCATTTCTCCCATCTTTCCAGTGCTCACACATTCAGAGGTAGTTGGGGAGAGAGTACAAAGGCCCTTGGTCCTTGAACCTACACTGTGTGACCTTGTCTTGTTGCTCCAGTCTCCTGTCACGTGGGATAAACAATCCCTGCCTCTCAGAGTAGTGATGAGGAACCAAAACAAGAGCTCCTGTGAGCATACAGGGCATGGTGAATTATGAGAATTTCCTAGTGTATTCACACAGCAAATTGGGTTCTCATCAGACCCACACCAGAGCTGATGGTGTTATCCAGGGGAATTTTGGCTGCCTCCTTGCAGTTCATTATACCAGGTAGGCAGAAACTCCTTGTTGTTTTGTGTACATTTTTTGAATTTCCACTGGATGCAGAAGCTGCCCAGACGTTCAGCCTTCTGCCTGATCTGACCCAGTTACACCCATATATGACCCCTACACTCAAGCTGCTCTGAACAGAGGCCTTGTTATGGTCTGTGCTGTGCTTAAAAGGGCCTCCACAGCCACAGTAGGCCTGAGAAGGTCCAGGTTGAGTGTTTCTCCTCCATAGGACCTGGTCCCTGGGGCTACAGGTCAGGAGCTCGTGGAAACTGAGCTGGAGAGGAAGGTGGCCAGAGTTACCCTTTAAGAAGTCACAGGGTGGGCTGGGGCTAGGGCTCAGCAGTAGCGCACTTGCCTGGCATGTGTAAGGCCCTGAGTTCAATTCTCAGCACCACATATAAATAAATAAAATAAAGATTCATCAACAACTAAAAAAAGAAGTCACAGGGTGTTAGCAGATCAAGACTTGTAGAGAAGCAGGTCCCAGGAGGGTGTGTCACAATCTCCATAGTATAGGAAATGCTTGTACAGGTTGGAGAGACACCCTACAAGAGAGTAAGTGGGGCATGGGTACAGAAGAGCAGTTAGCAGCAGAAGGGACTGTGGTGGGGATAGCAGGAGTCTCAATAGCTTGAGTTTGGGATCCTGGTTGGAGGAAGGTGTCCAGGTGAGGAAGTTGGCCTGCACATTGTACATTGTGCCCTATAGGAACATCTCTCCTCTGGGTGCTTGTTTGGGGAACACGGCACTAGGTTGACAGTTCTTCCAGAAAATTCCAGTGAGTCATCCAGGTTATCATTTTGGAAAATTTTTCCTGAAATCAGACTACTGTTCTTATAACTTTCAGAGACCTCACAAAGATATATGTGTGTATCTGACTTGGTGATCTCAAGCTGGTAAAAAGTATTTAATGAAACATAACAGAAAATGAGAACAGTCATAGACATTTTAAATGTGAGAATCTGACTTCAGTGAGTTAGAGGCTGAAAACAAGATCACACCTGGACAGCTTTTGTTGGCCTGTTATCTGTAACCCCAAGCCTGAGTGATTCCCGATGATCCTAAAGAGATCACTTGGCCTGTGGCTGAGCAGGGTGCCTGTCTTTGGGTAGATTTTCTCCAAAAGATTTAAGTGTAGGCATTACCTTTATATGTGAACTAACAGACACATGGGGCCTTTGTCCTTCAGCCTGGTGAAGAAGACAGAGAAGACAGGGTGAATTCTGGGCACCACCATGTCCCCCAGATGGTGGCCAAGAGACCCCTGCGAGACTTTGTGGGGCTGGAGGACTGTGACAAGCCTACTCGGGATGCCATGCTCAACTTCAGCTTCTTTATCACTGTTGGAGACATGGATGAAGCTTTCAAATCTATCAAGCTCATTAAAAGGTGAGGTGACACACACTGTTTCCTTTCTCCTTGCTATCCTTCTTGACTGGATTTTAAAATATCAAGTGTCATGATATATTGAATGGTATTTTCTCTCAATGAAATGCCACTGAGTTTGGGTACCCAGACGTGCCTAGCCAGCCTCAGATGGTGCACAGTGTGGCAAAGCAGTGAGCCTGGTTCTGGCATCTGTGGTGCTAGAGCCTCTCAGATGTTTTTAATGGTGGTTTTGTTTTGTTTTTGTTGTGTTTTTTTTGGGCGGGGGGCAGTTTGGCACTGGGGTTTGAACCCAGGTGTTCTCTACCTCTGAACTGCATCCCTAGCCATTTTTATTATTATAAATCTTGCAAAGTTGCTGAGGCTGGCCTTGAACTTGTGATCTTCCAACCTCAGCCTCCCCAGTTTCTTGGATCACGGGTGCACCCTACCATACCCAGCTGTTTTCATATATTTTGAGTGTTCAGGATACTTAATAGTAGAAAGTTCTGCAGTTGATAAGTCTTGCTGAAAATTTTTGATAACTAAACCCTAAAAACACCAAGGTGAAAATGCAGTTAGAGTTGCTGTAACAATTACAGTCAGGGCCTGGACCTCGTCTCCATTACCTAGGGAACTTGGAAATCCTTCACAAGAGCATTTGATGGATTTTAATTTTGAAAGGGTAGAAAAATATGGAAAGGTGTGAAACTCGGTTGCTTGAAGCAGGTGTTGTATGCTGTGATGACTGTGGTGCGGGAAGCACCCTGAGATCCTCATTCTCTGTCTCAGACCAGCGTGGCCAGGCCTTTACTATAGCTGGAAGGGCCTTTGTCCACATTGGCCATGTAGAAAAGAGGGCCTTTGGTTTGGAGGTGACAAGCAGAGACCGAATGGTTAGCCCAGCCTCTCTTGGATTACTTTCATTTCCAATGAGCATGATCAGCCAGAACAAATGCCATGGCCAACTTTAAACCTCAGTGAGCTTCTACATAGTCATCTATATAGTGCTAACAATTGCTAGGAAAGGAGCCAAGTGGAAGAAGGCAAGAACTGAATGCTTACATCAACGTGCTCAGTTGCAAGCATGAGTCTGGTCATTTCTATATACTGTGGGCTGAGTATGTCGTAGATGGTTAGTCCATAATTATTTTTCATTCATTATGAGTCATTTTATGAGGGTTAAAATGTGTGCCATTTTACCATTTGTTCCGGCTAGCAACAGATTCCTGGCACAACATGGGCTTCAGAATCCAAACTGATTACCTTCTTTTCATTGGAAGGTTGAGCACAGTAGATATTTGGAAGCTCTGAGGCAGCCAGGAGGCCAGCTTACATATTGCCTCCAGTGTTAGGTGCAATGTTAGGCTCCTCTTCTACCTCCTGGTGACCCTGATCAAGCAGAGGCCCAGCCAGCCAACCACCAGGACTATAGTTATATGCATGGATTGACAGCCCTGAGTTTGGGGGCCAGTTCTGATCCCTGAATTGCAGACCCAGACCTGAGGTGTTTCCTGCCCAACCTGGGGAGTTGCAGACTGAGGGACAGGCTTAGCTGAAGGCAGCCTGGTTCTGCAGGCACTCCACACCCACAGAACCTCCGGAGAGGCTGGAGGTCCCCCTGGGGAGAGCCAACAGAGTTCTTTCTCCTCCGTGTCTTGTTGATCTGCCATCCCAAGGCCATGGTTTTCAGAGTCCATAGAGACTTCATTGCACAGAACCATGGATAAAGGCCATGTACTCCCACCAGATCTTCAGGGAGATCCTTTCTCCCCTCGTAACATCAGCATTAAAGAAATTCTCCTTTTGGCAGTATGGATAGGGTAGACACAGTTTTTAGATAAAGTTAAGAGGTTTACATTTATTTTAACTTAGAAAAACAGTCAAGCAAAATGCATACTACTAATCTGATTATGGCATAAAACCATCTGTTATAAATTCTGATTCACTCAAGGAATATCATGGACACTTCATGAAAAACTTCCTGGGTGTTCTGCTTTGTGAAAGGAAATATTACCAGGGATGCCCTCTCAACAGATACAGAATGAATTAATCCCAAAGGCAGGCAGAGAGCAGGGTGCCACATCACCTCTTCCCTGTCTCAGTTTCTCGTCTTCGCCCTTGAAACACATGGCATGAAGCCATGCTGCACTGGCCAAGGGAAATCGTACTGGAGGAGCAGGTGGTCCACGTGACGTATAAGACATATAAGACATAGGGTATATTTGTATGTAACACAGTAAATATATACAAGTATCGTACAGATTTATATTATGGGTTACCAGACTTATCCCATACCTCTACACAAGCAGACATGGAAGAGTCCCTCCATTTCTAAACTATTCTGTTATAGTGGGATATTCATAGGTAAAGTCCTGAGAAGGGCCTCTCAGCATGGAGATTCCACGTAGTCATTGTCTAGCCCACGGCGGAACCGTGCTGTTAGGGAGCGGCTGATGACAATCACCCGGGGTGCCATGCAGTCCTCTCTTCGGTGAAGAATGTTCCAGATGAGCATGGCAGCTGCCAGTGTGGCCAGAAGGCAGGCACCGATGTTTAGGTAGCAAGACCAGGACAGGTTGGTGTAGGGGCCAATTCTGTAGAATGTCACCAACCCAATGACCAGCACGAAGCCTGCAGACAGAAGAGAAGTACTCAGAAAGTCCTATTCTGAGCCAGAACTTGGTCCAGAGCTCCCCGGAAGGCAAGCTACACCCCTTTCTCCAGCCCCTGGACCTGGGGCTTTGGGTGGGGCACAACTCTGGTAGCTGCAGTGGGTCCTGGAATCTTCCAGGTGTGGGCCTTTCCCTGCTCATAGCACCTCCCTGCTTGGATGAATCTCAGCCAGACCTAGCAATAACTTTGTGTTAAATCGACCTCTTTTATAAATGCTTAGTTCAAAGCAAAAATAGGTGTTTCCTTAATCTTATCTAGAAAGAGGGTCCAAATTCCTGTTCTTGTGTGTCGTCTTGTTCATGACTTTGCTTTCAGAGGAAGTAGAGATTCTCTTCTTCTCAAGATGGCCTAGAGTCTGTGCACCCAAAGAAGAGAGAAAGGGTGAGAGTGGAGAGTGGAGATTAGGGACCTAAGGAGGGTGGCCCACCCAGGTGGATCTCACACGGTTCTCTGCTTCTGCCCTGCTCTCACTTTGACCTGCCAGCTACATGGGAGGGGTAGAATCACCTGGACCAGCTTCTGGGCAGCAGCACCAGGCCCTCTCTTCCCTCCCACCCCACCATCTGGGTTTCCCAACAGTTAAGACCTGCAGCTATGCCGGGCACGTGGCCCACACTTGTAATCCTAACCACTCGGGAGGCTGAGGCAGTAGGGTCAAGAGTTCCAAGCTGGCTTTACCAACTTAGCAAGGCTCTAAGCAATTTAATGAGACCCTGTCTCCAAATAAAAAAGGGCTGAGGTTGTTACTCAGTGGTTAAGTGTTCCTGGTCCAAAAAACAAAAAGCCCTGTAGCTCTACTGTTGCTGCCTTTCCTATCACACAGTAGGCCAGTCCCACTCCGTCCCCAGTAGCAGCATCCTCCATTGACCAGGTGACCTGGGTGAGTCTTTCTCATACATAAATTACCAAACTTTCCATTACCTGGGCTGGATCAGATCACATCCCCTTCCTGGGCTTTGCCAGGCTGAACTCCCACTACTATCCCACTATTGGCCTGCAGGCTGACCTGTGTGTCTGTTAGCAATGGCCTTCCACTCACAGAGCCCCAGCTTTCCTCAGAAAACCAAATCATGGCCCTCTGTGGCCTCAAAGGAAAGAGCAGTATCCATAGGCACAGGGAGAGACTGAGACATACAGATGAGGAACAAGACATACAGATGAGGAATGGGGTGATCATAGGCTTTGATTCATCTAAAACACAAGCAGTGACATCAGTGCAATGACATTGCTTCTGGAAAGTATGAGTGAACATTAACTGCCTCTCTTTTGTCCTGTGTAGCAGTACTACCCACCATGCTGTGGATGTTTGTGTGGTGCTCTGTAAGTTTATGTGTGGAGGGCTTCTGGGTGCTTGTTTTCCACCCATGGCGCACTCTGCCTGCCAGGAACTGCTGGCATTCCTCTCTACCAGCAGAGAGTATGATATCAGCATTTGCATTAGTGGAGTAAAGCAATTATACCAGTGTTTCGTATTATGAAAGTGAAAACACTTTCAGTATGTGTCCCTTCATTTTCATGATGTCTTTGGGCGTGTTTTGCCAACCAATAGTTTGTCATGCTTGGGATTGAGGTAGGATGGGTACAGAGGGTGCCACCTTGTGTCTGAGATGAGAGGCAGTATAAGCAGGGCAGGGCATGAGGACTGAAGACAGTAGCCAGCAATATAATGCAAGCTAGAAGGAATTTGCCCACAGAACAGCAGCTGGTGCTACCAGGGGTCCACCTACCCCTGCCATGACAAATGCTGTACTCCTTTTCCTGAGCTTCCCTTCAGTTTGTGCATGCTACAGCAGCGTTTTAAAAATTTGGTATGTGGTCTCAGATCTAATCCCATAGCATCCTTCACTTTTCTCCCCGTACCATCAAGGGGCACTACCTGGAGGGCTGACCCCACCTCACACCTCGCACAGCTCCCTTGTCTAAAGTCAGGTCGGTTTATATCACTGATGCATAAAAAGAAAGGGTTTGTCTGCAAGTAATTGCTGGCAAGAGACCTTATCTAGAGACTTGTAAGCTACAAGAACTTGATTAAAAGAGCTGACCTTGAACCTTCTGGAAAGGACTGACATGCTTACCAGACTGGAAAAGTTAACAGGGAAGCAGACACCAAGCACTGTCACATGCAAGCAGAGGGGAACCTGCCCTGCCCTCAGGGACCAGCCTTGTGGGAATAGCACCATGTAGCCCTGGGAGCTGTAGTCCCACTCAAGGAAACTCACAGTCATGGCCCCAAATCAAGTGCCTCTGAAATGCGCATCCATGGTAAACAGCCCAGCAGGGGAATTCAGTGAGAGTATGAGCAAGCATTTCACCAGGATACCTCAGATGTGGCCCAGGAAATATCACAGAGGACACACAGGACAGTTCCTGCATGTACAGTCCAAACACAGGCGCAGCTCAACAATCTAAAGAAAAGTTAAGAGGGAATAAAGCTAGCAGGAATACCTGGGTGTGGCTGAGCCTCTGGGTGGGGGAAGGACCTCTGGGGGCCCTTCTATCATGTTCCAAGTGCCACTCTTTAGATTCTGCCTCACTGAAGCTGGGCACATGGCAAGCAGCACATTTCCAGGTTCACAGCTATGCTCACAGACTTTGTCAGCCCATCTGACACTCCTCCCACAGCCCCACACAGCTGTCAGAAAGCATTCCTCCTGTCTCCCCCACCATCTGAGTTTTGCTGTTACTGTTTTGCCATGCTGGGGATCTAACCCAGGGCCTGGTGCGGGCTAGCCAGGTACTCTACCCCTGAGCCACCCCAGCCCTCTGATCTCAGCCCATAAAGACTCAAGACTTCCCATTGCCTTAGAAGGTGACTGCACTGCAGCCTGGCAGACCTGCATGGCCTCCCATTTCCTCCCCACTACCCATAGCTTCCCTGCAGCCACACAGCCCTTTTCTGCTTCTCCAAAATGCCACATCCATCTGATCTGGACTTTTCCTCATGCTGCACTCCCTTTAGTTGACCAGCCCTGGGAAGGAGTGGCTCCTGTCCCCAGTCATTCCAAGCTCAGTTTAGAGTCACTTGGCCTCCTCCCCTGTCACTCCTAGAGCTTGTTCCACTCATTGACCACATGCACCCACGCCCGCTCCCCATGGTTTCAGCAGTTACTTGCTGAGTATATAATTGAAGACAAATCACAGTAGGTGTGAAAGGAAATGGACTACAGTGTGGAAAGGAAGATGAAGGGGATATCACCCTAGGCTTTTTTTTAGTGACCAGCACTTATCAGGGGGACAGTTCCCCACTGACCACTGTCAAGAAGACACATTGGAGCTGGTGCCCTTCAGCGTCCTTGTGCATAGCCTGTACTAAGCTGACCTGTGAGACTCACTGCCAAGCTAGGGACTTCATAAAGTACCATCACTAGTGATCTCAAATGGCTGAGGCCTAGGGTTTTCCTTTGAAGAACTGGTGTTCTTGGGTGAAGGTGAAATTAAACACTATATCCAGAGGAGCTGGGAAGCAAGGGCTAGGACCTCTCCCAGGGAGTGGCATTTGGTGAGGTCCCACCATCCCAGTAGGCATAAGCATCAACTCTAAACAAATGGGAAGCCTGATATCCTGGAGCAGATGCAGAGTGGGCAAAGCAGCAGTACCACCTCCTGCCCCAGGCGGCTCCCCCTTGCAGCACAGGATGGAGGCCTGGCCCAGCCCAGACAGGCCCTGTCCCTCAGGAGCCCACTGGGAAGGAATGGAGAGCAGCTCCCTCTGCCTGCCTAGCACTCAGCAGCATTGGACTGAGAGCCACAGCCATAGTACTTTATTGTCTGCTTTTTTCTCCTCCCTCTCCCTTTTTTCCTTTTTGCTTTGCTAGGGATTGAACTCAGAGCTTTGTGTATGCCAGATAAGCACTCTTCCATTGAGCTTTACCCTGAGCCCTTGCTATTTTCTTAAGATCAGCATAGTATGTTTTTTTTAAATAGGCAGACCGTTTTAACCATTTTAGTCTCTTTATTGCTTCCCCAGAGTTATCCATATTGCTTACCGTGTACAAAGGCTTCAGAACATGTAACTGCTTCTACAAACACGATTTTTCATGTATTAGTTTAAAGAACACTCAGTGTGTAGATAAATTGATCAAAGAAATGAGACTTCACAGGGGCACAAACAGTCTGGACATAGCCACCTGTGTCCTAAAAATACAAGTTGGAAGAGTGAGAGAGATGATGGAGCAAGTATGGCGAACAAGCCAAGTCTCCACCTCTCTCACCACGTGTCTTGAAAACCATGCTTGGGAACCCAGCAGCAGGCAGCACTGGGCTGATTTCCCAGAGTTCCAGGTGTCTCAGTTCTCTAACAGGAGTGTGATTCAGGGTCTATACCTCATCTACCTTCTCCAGAACAGTACAAAGGAAAGCCTAGAACTGTGGCCTGCTGCAAAGGTGACTCAAAACACTCACCTGCATGAAGCCCAAGCTTGGATGTTGTTTTTGTGCAGCTTAGAGCACATACTTTTTTTGGGGGGGGAGGGGGGCTGTTGACCAGGGGTTGAGCCATATCCCCAGCACTTTTTTATATTTTATTTAGAGACTGGGTCTCGCTGAGTTGCTGAGGGCCTCACTAAGTTGCTGAGGCTGACAGTTCTCAGAACACGGCTGGGCCTAAACCCTGAGAAACCTGAGCACAGGGAGGGGCAGATGAGGCCAGCACAGGGACACTTGTACTGCAAAGAGGGGACCCTGCCCTCATCCCAGCATGCAAGAATAGGCACAAGGGCACAGCTGTTAGCATCAGTCAGCTCCTATGGTTGGCCATTGTCCATATCCTGCTCTGAGCCCACACAGAAGGGACTTTATGGACCATGCAGACATGTAGAACAAGGGTTTGTCCTTTTCATAATCAGTAGTAGAAAGCAAACAAAAAGAGGAAAGCAGATGTATATGTGGCTATGCACCATGTTGCCAATCTGGACCACCTAAGGAGGGTAAAGAGACGTTTGGAGTTGGCTGGTTGGTCA